AACAGCCTATATAGCTTAAACCTATATTGAACTGGTTTTCAACTAAAGTCTTGGTTGGCATTAGCTAGCAGTTTCCTACCCCTTTCAGTTTTATGCTCAGCTAAGGTACCTGACTTCTTGGTCTAACCTACTTAAAGGAATGAAGAAGTGTAATGAATTGACACTGCTTTGATTTCATCCATGAGGGAGACCCTAAAAGAGAGTATTCTAACTTTAGTGCTCACATGTCAACTGCAGCTAATGATTAAAACTTCTTTTGTATTGTTTTGTCTGACAAGCAGCTCAAAACCTAAACAGACTCAGTTTGGAGTGTTATGAAAGTGAAAGGAGCACATTATCATTTTGGAAAGACAAACATTAATTAATTAATTCCAGAACCAATATAGCTCATCATGCTTTAAGTTTTTAGAGGTATAAATTAATGTGTAGTTCCAGAACTGTGGAGGAGTGGGACGTACATAAGATTAGATTACATTACATTAGATTATAAACCTGTACCTGTGCACTGGCCACAAACACCATCACATCTCCCTCCTCTCCTCTTCGGTGCAGATCCAACACCATGTGACAGGCCGCAGCCACAGGTTCTTTCCCCGATGAAAGTTCTCTATACAGCGTTTCTACTTTGTCGTCTTTCACAGCTTTCCTGTCCTCTACTCCACCCCCCTCTTCCTGGTCTCTGGTTGGAGGCTCAGTGTGCAGGCTGTCCAGGAACAGGTGAGGAACAGAGGGTCCTAAGAAGGTTGACAGACGAGGTGCAAGCGTTGGGTGAGTGAGGAGAACCACCCGAAAGGTGTCCGGCCTCTGGCGGCAGACGTCACACAGCAGGCCCAGCAGCACGTCAGTGGACACGGTGCGCTCCTGGAGCTCGTCTAGCACTACAACGCCATACTGATGCAGCAAAGGGTCTGACATCATTTCCTCTAGCAGGAGAGTGTCACTGACAAATCTAGAGAGGGGGAAAGGAAAACAGAGACTACATAAGACACAGAATCATTTTAACAATTTGCACTTCTGAGCACTAAGAGACAGACATGTTCAAAATAGCTAAAAACCTTTCTGGATGTAGGTTTCATCGATTTCAGCATCAGAGAGAGCAGAACAGAACACAGGAATCAACTTTCAGTGAAAACATTAGTGTAACACTTTCCCTGCCACCTTAGACATAAAACTGCAAGGACTCGAGTACAAAAAGTCAAGGTGTGGCTGTAAGCAAAACAAAGACCCAGTAACATTATCAGACAAAACTTGTGAAATCCAATGATGTGATCCATCTTACCTCTGGGGAGAAAGCAGTTATACAAGATAGAGATTTTCTGGGTGGCACTGCTGTTTTTGTGGCAAATACTCTCAGTTGCTTTATTGTCCTGCGTTTAATGAGAAGACTGACACTGCTCTTGTTTCTGGTTGTTAAATATGAAGCTGTACGCAGGAGTTAATTAGCTTCAACAGCATATAGAGTAGATTGCAATCATGGCCAAACAGCTTGCTTGGGCCATTTCAAAGCTTAAACACATACCAATATCTCTGGTGTTACAGGAGACAGCATGCTGAATACATTTTCCTTTGTGCAGTGCCTTGGTGCCTTGAGAGAATTAGGCCTCATACAGAACTGTGGTTTTTAACGAAATGTGCGATTTTTACAAACTAGAGACTAATATCAATGAGTTTTAAAGGGGTTGGTAGACACCTTTTTATAGCCCAATCTTTATGCTAAGCTAAGCTGTTTGACTTCTTATTCTAAACCCACAGTTAATGTAAAGATGTGGCAGTAATATCAATCTTCTCACGTAACATGTAGCAAAAACAAAAGAGAAGAAAAAAAAGAGTACTCTCTAAAAATGTAAAACTATTAGTCGTAGTATTGTTAATAATCTTTCACAAAAAACTGTTGTTAAAATAAAGAATTCTGTGTGTGAGTGTGTGTATTAAAATTATGAATACATATGTAGTAAAAAATCGAGCTACTAATGAGGTAAATTCATTGTGTTACTGCTGAAAGTGGTAAGACCGATTATTCATTTTTTATGGACAAATTCAATGTCATTTAACCATTTCATGTTGGTTTTGCCAAAAGGGGGGGAAAAAAAAGAAACTGTCCACTTTGAATTTTAAAATAAACTCTCTTCTGAATGTTAAAGGAATCCAGACTCCCATTTTGTGGTGGTTCTAACATGGACTGCAAGGTGGCTCAGTTGTCAGCACTGTCGCCTCACAGCTATTATCCATGGATTCTAACCTGAGCAGGGTGTCAGGTGTACAGCCATCATCATGAGACACCCTGTAGCCCACCTCCAGGCCCAGGCTGAGGTCCATCTCATCAGCCACGCGAAGGGCCAGACTCACTGCTGCCACCGAATAGGGCTGAGAACAGCACACCAGGCCCTGAGAAAACTCATAGGACAAAGCATACTCCACACACCACTGTGGCACCTGCAAGGAGGACAGGAGGAAGAAAACAAGAAAGACTGAGGTTAGCAAGAGTAGGAAGAAGTAGCATAATACTGAGGGACATGATTTATAATGCATACACTTCAAATTTGCAAGACACAAGCTATGAAAAGGTGTTGAACTACTTTTGCCACATCTGTGTTGTACATACTGTCTCTATCCTCCATGAAATTGTTATGGCTGCCATGCAGACTTGTGTGGATTGGTCAGGGTTACTTCATTTCACAGAAAGGACAGCTAGCGAACCATGAGAAGATTTTCTCAGAATTTGACAAAAATTGCATTGGACTAGGATCGCTGACTTCACTTTGAACTGTCCTTTTAGCATCATTGTTTTGGGTCTTTACCCACTCCTGATGGAAACATCAGTGTTTTTGGTAGCGAAATGCTCCATTATGTTCACCAGACAGTCTGTAACTATGGAAATGGGCTTATAGAACTTTATCACCACCGTAGTTGCCTATTACTGCTGGAAAATGAGGCTAAAAGTGGTGCAAGTGAATTACAGTGGCATTTGTGGGCCAAAAAAACCCAAAACAAAACAAAACAAAGAGCTAAATTGCTGTGTATACCTGAAACGGAACTGTAGAGTTAGGTGATAGGTTCATTATTATAACCAACCACTTTCATGTTACACACACTCAGTTGATCCAGTTTTAATATAAAGGAATTGATCAGTACGTCTTTAACAGCTAGGGTTCCATTTACTTCAGCAGCTCGTCTTTAACTTCGTCATCTGCCTTCAGTGCTCAGCAAGTAGTGAACGGTAAGTTTATCAGTGTTGTTTAATGGCTGCCACTAGCTGCTGCTAGAAATAAGGCTGATGACTGAAGCATACAATAAATTCTAGGATCACTGGGTTACTCACATTGTTAGTGTTTTAACAGAATCCAGATAAAACACATACAAGAGAAAGTGAGGTTTTACAAGATTGAATTTCCCTTCTGGGATAAATAAAGTATTTTTCATTTCATTCATTCATTTTCATTCTTACGGCTAAAGGTGCTTTGTGGAATTTTCTTGAGACAGTGGTTAAGTTTACATGCACTGTTTCTGACTAAAGCACACTGTGTACATCCTAAGAAATGTGACGTGTACATATCTGTCTTTACATGTTCGCTAGCTTGTAGTCCATAGGATTCTTGGCATGTCACTGTCACTGACTTTAGATACGTGCAATAGTATAAACATGTGGCACAAAAGTGTGTTACGCTGACCTACAGACAAATCAGGGACCTGTTCACCAGAATATTGCTTTGTAGTACCACTGGGGTTAAAAAAAAAAAAATCAGAGGTACCTTTATAACCAACAAATAAAATCATCATGTCATACTCCAACAACTGTGTATGATGCACAACTATCAGCTGTTTCTACTAGGCTTTCATTGACATGCTTTATTGACAGTACTCTTGCTCTATACATATTCGAGTAATAAATTAACAAGCAACTAATGTGTCATCCATGAAAGACTAGAGCAAACAAACCAGCCCCTAAAATGGATATTGAACAAATATTTGATCAAAACCTTCATTAGATCTAATGGCGGGGCCAGTAAGAGACAAGCTCAAGGCTCAAACACCAAACAGTCCCAGGATGAGCTTTTTGTGGAAGGTAACGAGGATTCAAACTTTGAAAAAACAATTATGAAATAAGACAAATTATGCCAAGATATGTAAAGGTAATCTCCATAGCTTCAGGGTTCTGACATATTTTTGTTGTTCTGAATTACATTTTGAGCAACATATAGGTTCTCATTCAAGTGAGAGTCAAGACAGAAGCAATAACCAACCTTACATGAAGCCAACAGTTACAGGTACAAGGGTCAAAGTGGCAGTGCCTTGGAAACAGCTGAAATAAGCATGGTTGTACCAAAATGGTAAACATGCAGCAGATTAAAGGAGGAGAAAGGAGTTTTTTTTTTTTCTTTTAAGATATGAGGCCGTGGCATAAATTGCACAAATGGAGTCGAGGGTGCTGAAGAGGGGAGCCCAGAGCGCTTCTTGATAAAAGAAGTGTTCTGGTTACAACAGAGCAGTGAAAGTCGACTAGAGTGGTTTAATGCTGTCATTCATTAGCCTGAGGGCGGCAGGACAGAGAAGCAGGTATATTGATAACTAGGTCAGCGCTGGGAAAGGCCTGACACAGAATAACTCATAAAGAGAGGTGTATAGGCTTACCAGCTGATAGCAGTATAATGGTAAAATTGGCAGCATTTGTATTAACACTTGGAAATACATGAAAATATTCAGAAAAATATGCAATTCATTTCTAATAAAATACATATTTTATTTGTAATGCCAGTAATACACTATACGGAAACTGAAATGTCACCTCTGCTGTTTGCTTTATCACGTTATCCCTGTTTTCTGGTCATGCCTTCAGACTCTATCACTTTTTCCACACTTCTTTGTACTGTGGAATTACTTTGAAATAACTAAATGTTTTTGCCCATCAATCTACCCTCAATAACCCAAAATGAGAAAGCAAGACATATACAGTCATGGAAAAAATGATTAGACCACTCTTGTTTTCTTCAATTTCTTGTTCATTTTAATGCCTGGTACCACTAAAGGTACATTACCTGAAGAATACAATGAACACGACAAAAAATGCAGCTGATTACATCATACTTTATGTCCTAAGCTTAATTGTATTCCCAGGGTATATGAGAGGCCATTTCATGTCATTAGCAGCACTGCAGTTGCAAAGGCCTGGAGTGGTTTCCTGCTTACATTCAAGCTGTAGCACAACTCAGTTGTCAGCTCCCACATAATGCCTAAAACAAAAGAATTATGTGAAGCCACAGAGGCAGCCATCTTGGCACTGCTGGAAATTGGCATGAGTGAGAGACAGGTAGCGAAAAAACTGAAGATCTCCAAGACAGCTGTTCATTACAGTAAGAAAAAAACAAGCCCAACATGGTACTACCAAATAGCTAGCTGGTCGCGGCAGGAAATGTCTTTCTACGAGATGACCGTGCACTCATTTGTTCCTGTGTCAGGAATCGTCGTCAGACCTCCAGGGACCTTAAAAATGAGTGGGCACTGTGGAGAAATGTGACTTGTTCGGCAAGGACAGTTCAGATTCTTGAAGCTGGTCTGAAGTCACACAGGACATGGAAAAAGCCCTTCATCAACCAAAGGCAGAGGAAAGCCTGGTTACTCTTTGCTGGGGATCACAAGGATTGGACTGTTGATGATTGGGCTAAGGTTCTCTTCAGTGATGACTCCAATTTTCAGTTCATACCCACTTCAGCCAACTTACTGGTTAGCAGGAAGCCTGGAGAAGCCTACAAACCAGACTGTCTTGCCCCTACAGTAAAACATGGGGGTGGATCAGTGACCATCTGGGGTTGTTTCAGTATGGGTGGAACAGAGCAAATCAAAGTGTGTGAAGGGCGAATGAATGAGGTCATGTACAGGGCTACTCTTGAAAACAGTCTTCTTCCATCAGCTGGAAAACTCTTTCCTGCCTTGAATGACTGGATTTTCCAACAAGACAATGCCCCTTGCCACACGGCAAGGTCAGTTAAAGAACCAGAACATTGGAACCATGCCTTGGTTTTGTCAATCACCAGATCTAAATCCAATTGAAAATCTGTGGAAAATCATCAAATGCAAAATGAAGAACAACAAGCCCAAAAACAAAGCAAATTTGTCTGAATTTGTGCAACAGGAATGGGCTGCTGTGACAGCAGAACAATGTCAGAAGCTGGTGGAGAGCATGCCAAGACGCATGGAAGCAGTCATCAGAAACAAAGGTTATGCAATCAAGTACGAACTCCTGTGTGTATCATGTGACTAAAACAGACAGAAAAGAAAACATGGAATGCCTAAAAGCACGTGTTTTTGGCAGTACAATACCATAGCTATTGATGGAAGAACTTAAGTGATTTTGGTTCTTATCAAGAAAACCATGGAAAATGGTGAGATATCAGCTCTTAAATTACACTCTTATGAGCTATTGTTGTTGTTATCATTATATTTGTCCAAACAAATGTACTTTTAGTTGTACCAGGCATTAAAATGAACTAGAAATTGAAGAAAACAAAGGTGGTTGAATATTTTTTCCATGACTGTATTTGGAATTTTTAGCAAACGTATTAAATCAAAAACTGAAAATAGTATTCCGACTCTTTACTGTGACTCCCTATTGTGGTCAGGTGCATCCAGTGTCTAGAGCATGACTGGAGGCAAACTAAAGGAATTTCACATAATTTAGAAAGGGACTTATTAAAATGTATAAGTTCTACTGTTTATACTATGTCCATAACCATAGACCATAACATTCTTTGGAGACATTTGCAGCAAAATTGTGACTCCAAAATTGTGACTGGAATCATCAGGACTCTTTTTAGATTTGATTATCTGGTAAAACTTAGTAACAAAGCAAAAATTAATTTGTTTGGGGAAGTGACCAAGAAGCAGCAAGTCATCTGCAGCGATGGAAGAACCGGCTAGAACAACAACCATCTCAGCAGCACTTCATCAATCAGACCTGTACCAAGACAGAACTTGGCATGCAGTCATTCTTGAGAAACAGACATGGCCGCCTAACTGGAGTTTGCCAAACTGCAACTGAAGGAAGGAAACATTCTCTGTTCTGATAACTGAACTTCCAAAGGCCTATGTCTGTTGAACAGGAGGCACTGCTCATCATCTGGTTAATAGCACCCCAAAGGTGAAGCATGGTGGTGGCAACATTATGGTACAGTGGTGCTTCTCAGCTGCCGACACAGGGAGACTTGACAAGACCTGGAAGAGAAACTGCTCTAGACTGCACCAACCTGACAGTTCACCTTTCAGCACAACAGTGACCTGCAGCATATGTGTCAGGACAACACTGGAGAGGTTTCAGGACAAGTCTCTGACTGTTGCTGAGTAACCAAGTCAAAGTCTAGACTTAAACCCCAGAGCGCCTCTGTGGAGAGACCTCAAAACAGCACTTTACAGAAACTTTACATCCACTCTGATGGAGCTTTAGAGGATCTATCACAAAGAATGAAACAAACTTCCCAAATCGAGGTGTGTAAAGCCTGTAGAGGCTTAGCCAAGCAGATTCAAAACAGCAACTGCTGCCAAACGGGTTTTAGTAAAGTACAAAATTAAGGCTCAGAGTACTTTGGTAAATTAAAAGTTTTAGTTTCTTAATAGGCTTGCATACATTTCTAAAAACATGTTTTCACCGTTTTATTACAGGTTACTGGGGGTGGATTAGTGGGAAAATGGCCACTGAGTTCATTTAAAAATAAATTTCCAACACATTAAAGTTTGCAAAAGGTGAGGTCTGAAAACCGTCTGAAAGGCCACACATAATATCATTATGTGTGGGGACTAGGGATGTCGCGAAAACCGATACCTCAGTACCCAGTTAATTCTGAAAACGTGATGGTATTTGTTTTTCTATGGTACCAAAGACAACATAGATGCCATCGCTACTAGAGATAACAAAAACAATGCGGAATTGTGGCAGGTGCATCTGTTGTAGGAATGCTCCACACCTAACGTTTATGAACATAATAATCGAACATAATCTTGTTGAAACTAATTTAGGAAATCTTATTACTGAGCTGGGTGCTGCTCATAATATTCATAGCGAACGTTAACACTCTTCAGTCTGTCAAAATAAGACACTTCGTGTCAGTTTTTTTGGAATATATTCTTTTGATCTTAGACATTAAACAAGGTGATCACAGCTTGATTTGATGAAACCTGGTTTAGAATTATTGCATTTACAATATATTGGAGTAACTTATGAGTTCCACGTTACCTGGGTGCTTTTTCCAGCTCCACTGGGTGCGCTGAGGATCACCATGTTGTGGCTCTCCAGGTGCTCCAACAGACTCTGCCTGAGCTTCCACACAGGAAACTTCTGCCTCTCTTCCAGTAGGGCATAGTAGCGCGAAGAAAAGGGCAAACCATCATATGGGTTCACCTCTAAGTCTCCTAGCCCCTCTGCCTCTCCTCTTCCTCCATCTCCGTCATCATCCAGATCCCCAGACAAAAGGGAAGAAACGGACAAAGAGTCTAGGGCTGTGGAGGGCCGCAGGTGGGATCTGAGTGCCGGGGAGGCAGTGGACGGCTTTGCTGGAGGTGATGACATCATTAGCAGGGGGCAGGGATGAGGAAGGAGTGATGGGCTAGTTCACAGGCAGGCCTGAGTTTATCTGCAAAGAGGCAAAAACAATAATGACTGGAGCAAACTTTACTGAATGCATGAAGAATGATTCCTGTTTTAATGTTTTCTGAGTTGCATATAGACCTAATTAATACAGCAGCAGCTACGGGAAAGAAAAGACAAACATTAACGTGGACTATAGGGGCCACAGTATGTCCCGTTTGCCTCAAATGGGGCCTTCACAAGAACCTGCAACATGTTTGGTATTAAGCTGTGGAATGCTTGTCTCCACCCCGAGGCCACTGAGTGTCTTGGACAGCTGCAGTAGACATGGTCTCTTTAGAGAGGAAGGCCTTCAGGCATCTACTGGTGTGCTGGTTTATTCATGTTTGAAGAAGACAAACAGCCGATGAAAACAGAGGAATGAGTGTTTGACACTATTCGATATTCCATTAAATAGTGGGGTAGGATATGGATCAAATCTT